CATGGTAGAAAGTCTGTTCAAAAACTTGAATACCCTGCAAGTTTCAGTATTCTTTATGCTCAGTGTTTTCCCACAAGATTACTTACTCTGTAATGTGTAACAGATGTGCATGACACTTATGTTTGTTTATATTCACTCAATGATTGAAAGTTCAAAGTGAAACAGAAATTCAGATAAGAAAATATGTGTAGTATGCTAAGGTCTAAATAAGAATATAGAACTTAGATGAGGTATCTAGAGTAGTCAAATTTGAAGAAACAGGAAATAGAATAGTGATTGCCATTGGAATATGTTTGGAATAGGAGGTAGTTGGCAGTTGCTGTTCACTGGGTATAAAGTTTCAATCATACAAGATGAGTGAATTCTAGAGATCTGCTGTACAGCATTGTGCCTTCAGTTAACAGTGCTGTATTGTGTGCTCAGAAATGTGCTAAGTTTTCTACTAATTTTTTATTATTTTTTTTAATTTTTTTAATTTGTTATATATGACAATAGAATGCATTAAAATTCATATTACAGACATAGAGCACAATTTTTCATATTTCTGGTTATACTCAAAGTACAGTCACATCCTTTGTGTGTTTATACATGTACTTAGGGTAATGATGACCATCGCATTCCACCATCTTTCCTACCCCTAAGTCCCTTCCCTTCCCCTCCCTCCCCTTTTCCCCTTTGCCCTATCTAGAGTTCATTTAATTGTCCCATTCCCTCCCCCACAGCATATTATGAATCACCTTCCTTAAACCAGAGAAATCATTTGACATTTGGTTTATTGGGATTAGCTAATTTCACTTAACATTATATTTTCCAGCTCCATCCTACAAAAGCCATGATTTTATTCTCTTTGAATGCTGAATAATATTCCATTGTGTATATATACCACATTTTCTTTATCCATTCATCTACTGAAGGGCATTTAGGTTGGTTCCACAGTTTAGCTATTGTGAATTGTGCTGCAATAAACATTGATGTAGCTGTGTCCCTGTAGTATGCTGTTTTTAAGTCCTTTGGGTATAGACCAAGGAGAGGGATAGCTGGATCAAATGGTGGTTCCATTCCCAGTTTTCCAAGGATTCACCATACTGCTTTCCATATTGGCTGCACCAATTTGCAGTCCCACCAGCAATGTATGAGTGTGCTGTTCTCCCTACATCCTCACCAACACTTGCTGTTTGTAATCTTAATAGCTGCCATTCTGACTGGAGTGAGATGAAATCTTAAGAGTAGTTTTGATTTGCATTTCATATATTTTTTTTTATATTTTTTTGATTGCATATCTTCTTCTGAGAAATGTCTGTTCAGTTCCTTGGCCCATTTATGGATTGGATTATTTGGGTTTTTTTGTGTTTAACTTTTTGAGTTCTTTATATATTCTAGAGATTATTACTCTGATGTGCATGTGGTAAGAATTTGTTCCAAATTAGTACACTCTCTATTCACCTCACTGATTATTTCTTTTGCTGAGAAGAAGCTTTTTAATTCAAATCCATCCCATTTATTGATTCTTGATATTAATTATTATGCTATAGGAGTCTTATTGGAAGTTGGAGCCTAATCCAACATGATGGAGATTTAGGTCTACTTTTTATTCTAATAGACGAAGTGTCTGGTTTAATTCCTAGGTCCTTGATCCACTTTGAGTTGGGTTTTGTGCATGGTGAGAGATAGAGGTTTAATTTCATTTTGTTGCATATGAATTTCCAATTTTCTCAGCCCCACTTGTTGAAGAGGCTCTCTTCCCTCCCATGTATGTTTTTGGTGCCTTTGTCAAATATAACTGTAATTATGTGGATTAGTCTCTGTATCCTGTATTCTGTACCATTGGTGTACAAGTCTATTTCGGTGCCAATACCATGCCATTTTTGTTACTATTGCATTGTAGTGTAGTTTAAGGTCAGGTATAGTGATGCCACCTGCTTCACTCTTCTTGCTAAGGATTGCTTTAACTATTCTGGGTCTCTTATTTTTCCAGATGAATTTTATGACTGCTTTTTCTGTTTCTATGAGGAATTTCATTGAGATTCTGATTGGAATTACATTAAATCTGTATAGTGCTTTTGGTAGTATGGTCATTTTGACAATATTAATTCTGCCTATCCCAGAACAAGGGAGATCTTTCCGTCTTCTAAGGTCTTCTTTGATTTCTTTCTTTAGTGTACTGTAGTTTTTGTTGTAAAGGTCTTTCACCTCTTTTGTTAGGTTGATTCCCAAGTATTTTTTTTTTTCTCGAGGCTATTGTAAATTGGGTAGTTTCCCTCATTTCCCTTTCAGAAGATTTGTCACAGATATACAGAAATGCATTTGATTTATGGGTGTTGATTTTGTATCCTGCTAGCTGAATTCCTTTACTAGTTCCAGAAGTTTTCTGGCAGAATTTTTGGGTATTCTAGGTATAGAATCATATCATCAGCAAATAGGGCTAATTTAAGTTCTTCTTTTCCTATGTGTGTATACCTTTAATTTATCTCATCTGTCTAATTGCTCTGGCTAATGTTTCAAGAACTATGTTAAATAGAAATGGTGAAAGAGGGCTTCCCTGTCTTATTCCAGTTTTTAGAGGGAATGCATTCAATTTTTCTCCATTTAGAATGATGTTGGCCTGGGGCTTAGCATAGATAGCTTTTACAGTGTTGAGATATATTCCTGTTATCCCTAGTTTTTCTAGTGTTTTGAGCATGAATGAGTGCTGTATTTTGTTGAATGCTTTTTCTGCTTCTGTTGAGGTGATCATATGGTTCTCATCTTTTAAGTCTGTTGATGTGGTGCATTACATTTATTGATTTCCGTATGTTGAACCAACCTTACATCCCTTGAACCCCACTTGATCATGGTACACTATCTTTTTGATATGTTTTTGTATGTTTTTTAATATTTAAAAAAAAATAAGTCCCAGAGGTTTCTTTTGAATAAAAGGTTTCTTTGGAGGGAGGGGGCTTTCTTAGTAGTTTTTTCAAGTTCAAGATTTTTTAATGAAAAAAAGGATTAGATATTAAGCATACTTTAATTCAACATTTTTTAATGAAATAAAGCCATATATTAATGTTTGATCACTTTTTGATGCCTGCATCTTTTTCCAAGAAAGAATAATTTTTGCATGTTCTATTTTTAGTGTAGAGAGAACCTAGTAAGGCAGAGCCTTCAGGGTCAGAACTGCCCTATTCCTTTCCCTATGTGTCCTCCAGGTGAGTGGAAGACAGTTGTGTTGTGTGTGCAGCTCCTTCTTGAAGCTTAGAGTGCTCACAGCCTGTTGGAGGTTCAGAGAAGTCTCACTGTAAAGAAACTTTTAACATTGTTTATGGAATTTCTTATATTTCTTTGACTTTGGAACCCTTTTTCTCAGGACCGTTAACATCTCAAAGGATCTCATAACAAGGAACCCAGTTATGGGAATCAGCTGGTCATTGGAAAGAAGACCCTTCTCTGTATAATGTAGGGATTTCTGAACAGTAGAATATAGAGGGAAGGGAACTGGGCATGGGAGGAAGGAAGGGGAAGGAGAAATACTGGAGACTGAAGTAAAACAAATTATATTCATGCTCTTGTAATTTTGTCATAGTATATTCTGTTGTCATATATATCTAAAACCAATAAAAGCAAATATAGGGGTTTCTGAAACTTCGTTGGCACCTCATTATAGGCAGAGACCTGAAGCAGCATCCTAGGAAGTTACTGTTCAATCAGTCCTTTCTTGTTTTCATGATGACAGAGTATTTTTGCACCATCTCTGGAAGAAATAATATAGTTTATCTTCCTTCAGATAGCATGTGTTCTAACTTACCACTAGGTGACTAGATGGCCCATAACTGTCTTAGGTCCCTTAAGAAAATGTAAAGAGGCAAAGCTACTGTTCATAGTAAATTCTATTTTATAGGAAAAGTTTTCAGTATCTTTTAGTAATCTTTTTTAAAAGTCATTAATTATGAAACATCAGTGCCATTATAAACCTTAAAACTAATCCAAATGTTCTCTTAATTAAATCAATGTTTATTACATCTCATAAAAACTTTAATGCTCTTTTCTAAAACAACAAAGAAATATGAAGATCAAAAACAATGGATAAACAAAGTAAATCCTAGATTGATAAAAAAGATTTGACACAGGAAAAGTTGAGATTTTAAAAACTCACAAGAAAAGAACTGTGCATAAATTCTTTTTAGCAGATTAAGACCTTTCAAATCGGTACCAGTAGAAGAAATCAAGGTATTTGGTTTAATGAAATGAGAAATGTTTGGCATATAATTCAGCCAAATAAAAAATTGAGCACTGGTTTAGCACAGCAAATACAACAAATGATGATGGTTTATGTTTGTATCAGTCTTCTAATTCAGCAAAATTAGCAAGCCCAGCTAAATAAGAAAAGAATAAGATGTTCACACATGGGGTCAGCTACCCAAGGAATTTGTTTTCAAAAAAAAAATGAGATTTTTTTTTTTTACACACCTGTCTTCATGCATGCTTGGTGGGAGCATTCAGTGGTAAAGACCATTTCCTCAGTCTTGTGGGGAGGTAAGGGACACACTCAACACAAGAGTGCAACTTGGAGTTAGCAGGACGCCTTGACAAATGTTTCTAACAAGTATTATACTCAGTGCTGGCAAGCCTGTGAGATTGGTTTATGATTCCAGGAATGACAAGAACTTTTTTTTCTTTCTTTTAACTCAGAACCCATCCTAATGAAAGTGGTGAAAAGGGATAGAAAAAGAACATATACATTGAACAGTAGGGCTTGATCAAGTAAATAAGAATATTTAGCCCAAAGACACATAAATAAAATCATTGTTAGGAAAGTAGTAATAATATGAAGCAGTGTCATGCTAGGTGGCTGTAATTGCATTTGTACTGCTGACTTTAGTTCTGTAAAATAAGTACAAATGGACTTTTATAGTAGCAGGATTCTGGTATATTAAAATTTGTTTCATGTAATTTTTATATTATATAAGAAATGCTAACATTTACCTTATTAAAAATGATATTTTCCTCTTTTTATCTGACTACAGTCTCTGCCTTCTCTGTGTTCTTGAAGCCAGACATGACCTGACACTCTGATGACTACTGTCAGGGCCTTGGGTGATTAGCCAGTGCACCATGGAACTGAAAGTATGGGTGGATGGAGTTCAGAGGATTGTTTGTGGTGTCACCGAAGTCACAACTTGCCAGGAGGTTGTAATAGCCTTAGCTCAAGCTATAGGTAAGTAAACTCTTGGATGTCTAGGATAAAATTCCTTTACACTTTCTTTTGGGGGCTGTATATGTGTGTGGTTTCAATATATGTCTCTAGTGAGTTTTGTTCATTTAGTTCTATAATAAATCTCACAGACACACTTTTACTTACTATTCTTTGCCTGTGTTTGAGTTAATCTGTAGTGATGCTGTTCTTGGAATTACCCCCCCACCCATATCACTCAACTTCTTCCCTGGTGTCATACTAAACAGTGATTTCTGAAACTAAAGATGTTTTCTTAAGCAAAACATAGATTCCTCGTTCCCAGAGTCCCTCATAAGGAAAAATTCTATTATCAATTTCTGAATACTTTTAGAAAAGCAAATACAACAAATGAAATAACAGCATTGCTTTTTAGGAAAATAATGTGCACTCTTTAAATCTTATACAGTGAAGATGAAGTTGTCAAATACATCTCCTGTTTTTATCTTATCCTCCTATCTCAAGTTTCTTCCAATTTATTTTAAACTTTTCCTTGTCATAATTTGTGCAAATTTATTTGTTATCTTAAATCCTTTTGGAATATGATGAAGATATAAATTCCTGCCTCAGTAAAATTAGTAATGTGGATTATAGTTTCTATTTACATCTTAAATCTGTTATTCAGCAAACAAATATTAAGGAGAAACTGTGTGTCCAACATCATGCTAGGTGCTCTAGCCTTCTTATCAAAAGTTTATTTTTTGTTTTGCTAGTTTATATTGGAAGCATGTCCAGTTAGATCAAGGTTGAAAGAGCCAGTGTTGCCAAGACATCTGAGCTTCTGATGGAGATGCTTGACTTTGCCTCCTGCATTATGGCAGATGCTTTGTAGTTATTTCCCCCTCCCTTTTTTTTTTCTTAATGAAGACTAGGATTACCATTGTTCATGTAACTTTCTCTGTTATGTTTGGGAATCAAAACATGGACAATACTTTAAAAAACATTTTTGTAGAAGTCAAGTAGTTGAGTGGTGTTGCAGGCCACATTTATCTGTGTGGTAGCCACATTTTCTGCACAGAATTTCAAGGGCAAAAATGCCTACAGGTACTAGATATGAGTTTGTCCTTTGGAACTGAAGTATGTTCTTACTTGTGGAACATGGTAAAAAGTTTTAACTGAATCTTTTGCTGCCTCAATAACTCAGTACAAGACCTGTTTTGAAAAGTCAGCTACCTGAATACAGGTGTTTTATGATATTCCTCCAAATTTGGCCACCTATTTCTTTTTTTGTATCATAACTACTTCATTGAATGCAGAATTCAGAGAAGGACTCAACTGGCAACTAACCAACAGCTGTTAGTCCTTGTTTCTGTTGTTGTGCCAGATTTTCTCAGCACCAATTTGCTTCTGATATATATTTGAATATCTGTCTTATAATGAAAGATTTTTATATTCAGAGTTTAAATACCAAGTGAAAATTTTGTAATTCTTTTTTCTTATCTCTACTTTAAGAAACAATAGGGGATTTATTAATTAGAGAAAATTGCTTCTATAACAAACAACCCCAAAATTTCCATGGCTCAAAACAGTAGTTTTTACTGAAGGAACTTGAGACTAGTTGCTTTTGTTTGCATGTACATATATACCGTGTTTAGGCAACTATATACAGTCAGCCCTCCATATCCACAAGTTCTACATCCATGGATTCAACTAACCTTGAACCAAAAGTACAGTAGATATGCCTAGTACCAAACATGTGCATGCTTTTTTTCCCCCCTTGTCATTATTCTCTACACAATACAGTATATTAACATGGCATTTACATTGAATTAATTATTATAAGTAATCTGGAGGTGATTTGTAGTATGTAAGACAGTGTCATAGTTTATATGCAAATACATGCTATTTTTTGTAAGGGATTTAAACATCCACAGATTTTGGTATCTGCAGGGTCCTGGAACAATCCCCCATAAATACTAACTGTGTGTGTGTATGTAAGCATGTGCGCGTGAGATAGAGAGAGAGACCTTAGAAGTCATTTTCTCCAAGTAGTTAAAATTATTTTTTTAAGAAACCACAGAAACTATCAAAATTATTTACTATGAAAATATGTACATAAGCCAGCAATCTGAGAATACATATGACAGCTAACATCTTTTGTCTTAGTGCTTCTAATCAATCAAGTCTAATTAGCAAAGAGCCAAAACAGAACCTAGTTTGATTTTTTTTTAAATTCTGAATGTATCTAATACTCTAGAAATAAATCCTTTCTACCCTAATCTTTCACTACTTTGGCAGATTACAGGTAGGTGATGGATGTAGGACACATTTTCAAATTATGACAGACAGAATAGTTAAAAGTAAAACTGTGATTAAAATATTCTTTGCATGAAGTGGTTAAGCTACCTATGCATCCAGAGTGCACCCTGTGTTCAGTCATTGTAATCCTAGGCTTTCTGAAACATTCCCAATTTAAATATTCTATTTTGTTTCCCTGGTAAACTGTCCTAGAAGTACCATTATTCCAGAGCTCAAACTGCCTCTCAGATGTGTAAGTGAACAGAAAGCCTTTGACAGATCATCTGTATCAAGTTATAGTAGGGAAAGTGCATTTGCTTTTACAGTATCCCAAACCAAAAATAAGAAAAGTATGGTTTTTTTGCCCTCAGGTAACTTAAAGCTTAATATAGGAGCCGGGAGTATGGCTCAGTGGTAGTGTGCTTGCCTTGCATGCATGGGACACTGGGTTCAATCCTCAGCACCACATAAATAAATAAAATAAAGGTATTGTGTCCTACAACTAAAAAAAAAAAAAGTTTAACATAGAAATAAATTCCAGCTAAAATTAGGGGAGGAAAAAATAAAGGAACTGAAGGAAAAGGTTTCTGATCCACAAAGCTTTGATACCTGATGTCATTTAAAGTATCAGTGATTCAGAATCTTTCTGTTCCCACTTATTGTGATCTGTTCCCTGTATCTTCTTCAAATGGGGCCAGAGCAAGCATTGAATAGAAGTAACTGGATTGGAGCTGGGACTAAAATGATGTGGTGGACTCTGCTCAAGAAGCCCTTTCATAATCAGTTTTCAAACACATTTTATACTAAACTCTGGTTTTAGTATTTGTTAAGACTTACTTTTCTTTTCTGAAAATTCTTCTAAAGTATAGAGGATCTTGCTTTCTTGTCTTTCTTATATAATTGCTTTGCCTAAAATAAGTACTCAGTTAAACTTATTTTCTAGGACAGTCCTGTTCAGTAAAACTTTCAGCAAGGATAAAATGTTCTATACCTGTGCTTTCGCAATATGATAGTCCCTAGTCACATTCAACTATTGAATACTTGAAGTGTGGCTAGTGTGACTGAGAAAATGAATTTTTAATTTTAACTAAATCACTCTTGTAGGAGACAGTGTATTCTAGAGGATAACTGATTGGTATCTTGGACTTAACATGTCAAAACCCAAGCTCTGTGTCCCAGGTACTGCCCATCCCCAAGTTTCTTCCTTCTACCCATCTCCGCAAATGAGAACTCTTCTTTTAGTTGATAGAATCCAAAACCTTTGGGTTGTCTTTTCTTCCTTTCTTGCTTTACTACCTTAAAACTAACCTATCATCAAATCCCCTATTCTACCTTCAAAATATATCCAGAATCTTATTTCTTCTCTCAACAACCACTGATGGTAGTTTTTAACCACTTTGTTACCTTGATGGAAACCACGATTATTTTTCACTTAGATTTTTATAACAGCTTTCCAGCTCATCTCCCTACTGTGTCAGTCAGCTTTCCGTTATTGTAACAAAATATTCAGGATAACCAGCTTAAAAGGAGAAGAGGTTTATTTTGACTCACAGTTTCAGAGGTTTCAGTCCATGGTTGCTTTACCCTGTTACTTTTGGCCTATGGTGGCAAAATACATTATGGTAGAGGAGTTGTTCACAGTACCTAGGAAGGAAAAGAGAGAACAGAAAGTGACCAGGGTCTCCATATCCCCTTCTAGGGCATGCCTCCAGTGGCCTAACTTTCTTCTGTTAGATCCCATGTCAGGTTCCACTATCTCCCAGTAACACCACTGTCTGGCAACCAAGTATTTAACACATGGGCTTTTGGGAGACACTTTGAACCTAAAGCACTACTTCTACCTTGTCCCTCTTTTCAGCAGATTTCTTTTAAAAGTAATTCCTTTAAAACATGTTGCATTATTTCATTCCTCTGCTCAAAACCCATTAGTGGTTTCCTAACCCAGAATTCTGAACCCATTCAGTAGTCTTCAGGGGCATAAAGGAATCCCCACATACTCTCACTACTCTAACCTCATTTAAAACCACTCATTTTGGAGTATACCCTCCCACCTAAACATGCCAACCACATTCCTACCTCAATCTTTGCATTAGTTTTTCTTTATTAAGAATACTCTATAATTAGTTACTTTGTGTTCATTCCCTTAGATCTCTGCTCAAACATAATCTTATAACAAAAACTCTCTCTGACCACTATGTGTCCTGCACATGTGCACATTCATATATTCCTTGTCCTAACTACTATTTCTCTGTAGCATTCACCTCCTGACATGTTACTTATCCACCAACATCCCTTATCCACATTATGAGATCTAAAAAATTCTGAAATCCTCAAGTTTATCATACTTCTTTTGTTAGCCCAATACCTGGCATTGCTTCCGTAGTGGTTTAAAAAAAAATGGCTTGATGTGAGGCTGGTTTTAGTTCATCTATCCCATTTGATATAAATGTTGGTACATTTTACTTTAGAACTATCATAAGCTTGGGTTAGGTTGAAAGGTTTTATTTCAAATACAGAATCATGATTGCAGGATGGCTTCATGCCATCTTTCTAAAACCTAAAAAATTCTGGATTTTCATTACATATGACTTCAAACCTGTTAGATAACAGAAAGTAAATCTACATTTACTTGGGATTGTCTAACACCTACCACTGTTTTCTTATTGTTTATTCCCATAGCTTAAAGCCATATCTTTAATGTAGTAAGCACTTGAGCTGTTTTTATTCACAACATGCCTGACACCAAC